ACCATTGCACCATCACAAGCTACATCCAGATCCAGGAGCCGCACTCGCTCACTACGCACTACACGCTCTCCACTACCACGACGTCGAAGCTCCGCCACACAATCCGTGGCTAGTTCTCAACCACAATCCAAGCCTGCAGACAGACAAACATCACCATCACCAGCAATCACCCAGGACAATGCTCACACTCCCAGACAAAACATCACTACCGCTACCACTGCAAAACACACTCCAGAGTCAACTCACCGTACTTCCAGCATCACACTCAAACCCAACCCACAGTTCACACCCAAACATTCCACAAAACAGACACCTACACCGCCACCACCAGCACCATTACCTACAGTTCCGGTACAACGTCGACCTCACAACTTGCCTCCTCCAAAATTCCAACCACCCACTGATCCAGCACAATTGGATGTCTTCCAATGGCTCAACCACTACGCGCAAGCACTTGATGTCAAAAATGAACCCATGATTTCCTACGTAGCCAAGGTACTTAGTGCAGCTCATCTCAACAGCACCCACTTTACCGACCTACAACTTCTCACACACACAAAATGGAGCGACGACACCAACAAGGAAGAACATTACTCATTCCTATTACTCACAATCCCCACATTAGCGAGCAGGGGCGACGCCCCGATCCTTCCTCCTACACGGAGAGAGGCGCTGAACATACCACCTATACAGCACATTTTTGCGGCACACGTTAGTGAGGAGGGCAACATCATTTCAATACTTGAAGCAGGAGAAATCGTGCGATCCATTCTACATGATGATCACAACGTGGGCTATTTTTGTCAGGCGTTCGAACTGTCGAACTATGAGCCCCATGATGCTGCTGAAGCTGCACGCGTCCTCTTCAATGCTTCCAATATGGCCAAGAACCGTAGCGGCCTCATTTTGACGATCAAAGCCTATGGACACGGCCAGAAAGTCACTCATGGTGGCGAATCCGCAGCGAACGACTTGCTGCTCAGAGGAGAGGGGATTGTAAAATACACCCCAGGAAAATGCTGGGTGGCGCATCCCAAACATTCCAGAATAGAAGGGATAGCCTGGAAAAGCGATGCAAAGCCACCGCTTAGTTTCATTTAATTCAACCTATTCAGCTCAC